TACACTTGTCTTCAACACTGTGCCATACAAGTTTTACAATAGGAGCACATTTCAGTATGCTTGCAATGTCTCTGTTGCACATAAAAATAAGTTTTTGTAAAGAAATAGAACGTACAGTTTTCACAAAAATATGCGATTTCTTCCTATTTTTGAAATCTTTGCATTTAAAAGTGTTTTAAGAGTAATCTTAATACAACAGCAGTAGTAATCCAATTAAAACAGAACGCTAACATAGAGGGTAATTTAATACATTAAAATCATAACTTTTTATTTCAAACCATATTAAAAAGACACAGTATAAAATAAGTTAAGAAATATAGTTTCAAATTTTAATAGGAATACAAATCGGGAATTTGTATCCTTCTTATTTCATTAATTAATTTCTTTTATTTCACACAATTTTTCCTTTTCCAATGTACTTAATAATCAATGAGGTAATAAAAGGCAATCGTTGTTGTTGTTATTGTTATTATTATTATTATTATTATTATTATTATTATTATTATTATTATTATTATTATTATTTCTATAATTGTTATTATTATCAGTATTATCATTATCATCATCACTATTATTATTATTATTATTATTATTATTATTAGCCAATTAAAATACCATTAAGAGCACGGGCCTCCTGATTTTTTGCAGGGAAGAGAGGTGTGCAGAAAGTTGATCATGTTATTTTTTTAGCCATGACCGCATTAGGTTTATGACCGAGGGAAACCACGAAAAACCCAGTCAGGATTGCCGACCCGGGGATCGAAGCCGGATCTCTCGGCTGCGGAACCACCGGGCTACGCACTGAGCCATTTCACTAGATAATCGTTGTTTAAGTAGTATTTTCTTATTCACGTGCACGGTGCATATAATTTGCAACCACTGCGATGGATGAGTTGGCCCAAATTACCTCAGTCCTTGAGCACTCAGAGTCGCGTATACATATTTATACGGCTGCCGCAGTAGAAACCTAAAGTGTATCATATTCACTTCGCACAATCAACTGAGCTTCCAAGGGAGCGCCACTGTGCAGGCCACTCAGTGCTGCGCCGTACGTCGCTCGTTAGGCAACTGCATACACATATCCGTTTCGCGGGTAGTCTATCACAAAAGGGGCAGACTATTTTTTTATGTTCACGATATGGCTAGGAACGAATGAAACGAAATATGAGATTGTTTTCGAAAATGTATCCGATGAATTGTATCTCTTTTGTTTTCTTTGTGGTCGAGTTATGATATTCACAACAAAACAGTCGTTAACGACATTAGACCGATATAGAGAAAATAACAAAGTCAGTATTGGTAATGTTGGCCGTCTGTTCAATATAATTTTAGTAATACCACTTTCTTAAAAATCATTCTAATAAGGAATATATTTTCTTTAAATGAGAGTACCCATACACCACAATTTGTTACAACTCATTTCTTTCGACTGTCTCAGCGGACGGTGGCTTGATGAAATCTTTAACTGACGCCGGCCTTTAAGAGTAATTTTTCGTTTCTTTGCTTGGTTGCGTTTTGTACACATTACAGTACATCATTACGAAAATATTATTTTATGGAGCCACTAGGAAAAGCGCTTCTTTCAGGGCAAACACAGGTCTAAAAATTCAATTTTTGTGCACTAGTGCTAAAAGTGAGACATTGCCGAAGTGTTGTGAAAAATCTTCAATGCAACTAAGAAATGAAAATACGTTCACCTCATGGCATCAATTACTTCTGACATTAATATATCATAAAGCGATTTGTGTGATTGAATTAAAAGAAAATGTAAACATCAGTGTGCTGTCTATTAAATAGTATATGACACACGTGACAATAGTGATTTTATTTTGCTCGTAGGATTGCGTCAGTCAGTCTGCTGTCTTCGTGACGCAACCTTTCCTACTCGAAAAATAAATGTCACTCTTAATTCTTGCAGAACGTTTGTAAGGAATTCTGTACATCAGTTAACTCCTATTCACATATATTTCATAATGTTTATAATATTATAAGTGTTGCTACCGATTTCTATTAGAATATTATTTATTATTCCACATATCTACGTCCATAATTTTAAGACTTTATTCCCCGTTCTCGGTCGAGGCGGATGAGAGAGTGTACTGACTCAGCGCTTCGGTCCGAAAGGTCGTGAGTTCGAATCACGCCTTGGGCATGGCGGTTTGTTCCTTGTCTCTCATGTATGTGTTATCGCGATGGGCCTCGCATTCTGAAGACTCCACATCAGAGAAGCCGGAAAAGAGAGTTGATGTACAGTGCATGGCAAATATGCGTCCCATCCGAATGTAATGGGTATCCGGCTGTCTACCGGAAAAGACCGAGGAAAAAAGTCCTGGTTCTCGAGGTTTTTCCCATTATTTTCTTCTACTTCCTCCGCGTGACTTCAGTACACCTTTTTTCATTATTCACACAGCTTCATTATATTTTATTTTTGATCGTTTCAGTTCACTTTTTCGCAAATTAACTTATATCAGTATCCATTTATAATTTTAATAATTGGAGAGAAAACACTTTGTTAGAAGTTTGTACTTTCTATTTTCACTTCACCATACAGTGAAAAATATGAAAGCTTGTTTTACTAAATAGAAGTTGTGCAAACCATAGTCCTCTCAAAAGTAGGGAGTTGTAAGTGAGAGTACTGGAAGGCACAAGGTTTATTTAATGCTTCTCCAGCAAGCACCTGCCAAGCGTTTTCAGCTATTCGGCAACCTTCCAACTCTCTGTAGCTACAAATGTATTAGCATGTTTCAGTTGTCAGTAAAGCAGTATAAATGTCAGAGATGATTAGAATAATTGAGAAAACATATTTCAATATTCAAAAAATTAGTAATTGGGACAATCATAAACAGTTGTTGCACAATAGAATCAGCGGTTGCACCACAGAAATGTGCGGTTGCACAGTGACTTGCCTTTAGCGATTATTTGTCAAATTGTAATAATTCATTATACGTTTTGTTTATTAATTTTTATATATTCCAAAACTATTTGTTAAGTAAATCTTTTACCCATATGAATTTTGTATCTGAATAAATTCGTAAGAAATATTATTACATATTATAAATAGTCAGTGTAATAATGAAATTTCTCGTAACGTAACGTTAATTTCTCGTAACGTGACGATCCTTGTAAGTTTAATGACATTCATCGGTAAAACTTAATATTTATTCCTCTTAGAAATACTTATTTTTTCTAAATAAATCATCTTCATTATGTTTTAATAATTTTGATTTTAATATTCATTGAAATATTGATTTAAGTGCTACATACTAAATTCATTCCCTAGCAAAAAAGAGAACAGCTGAAAAGGTAATAGTAACATATTATTACTTAATTTTCTGAAAATTAAATAGCATTATCGAATTATTCAGAATGTTTACGAACTATTATTTAAAACTTGTAAGGGACATATGGGGAGGGAGTTGAAGATGATCATATATGCATATCCTACATAAGACATATTTTAATGTTACATAAAATATGTGCTTGCAACTCTAGAGATTTTGATTTGATTCTGTGAAGCAGTATGTTGTAATCAATGTTGCGTTCGATTAATTTTTCCGTCACCAGACACGTTGTTTAGTCTCTAAAAGCGCAGAACTGGTCGCTTCATTCTGGATCTCCTATGCTTGTCGGATATTTTCTCAACCAAAGCGGTGGGGGTGTCCGAATTAGCCCACTGCTCACTCCTGATGAGAAAAAAATACTAGGGGTGGGAGGAATTATCTTGTGTGATTGTATTGATCCGGCATTCACCGCGAAGATTATTAGAAGAGACAATCAAAGATTATTAGAAACGACCAATCAAAGCAGCCGTCATCCAGAACCCTCATTCGGTCGCTGGTGGACTTCGATCCATCTATTTAGGTGTCGTCGAAAACTTCGACCACAGTCGTGTGTCGATCGACCTCCTGGTCAACGAAATTTCAGTTGCGATCTCGCCACTATGAACGCTAGCAGAGCCGGTTGTATCTTGTTATTTATATGCATTTAAACATCTGGTTCGCACGTGAACGCTAAAGACGGGCAGTGAAACAACCTCATCTCGCTCAGATGGGAGTAATCAGGGGCGCAGGCAATGGAGGGACTTGTTTGGAGGCGCGGGGCGATATCTATCCGGTAGGCGCGCGGAGTCATGACACAAGCGCGCGGCCTTCCTTCATATTTTTAAACGACCATCCGGCGAACACACGGCTGCCAACTGCAATCTCCGCCGCCGCCAGAAACGATCTTCAGCCAAAACGACTCGCGGGTATATACTCGACACCTAAAGCTTTTCTAGTCTCAGTCATAGATTTAGAGGTTCGCGTAGGTAATTGTTATTCGTGATCCCAAATGTTATAACTCATGATGAATTCCAAATATTGTGAATGTTTTTACAACAAACTCTCGTAATACATAAAATTTAAATTACGGGAAAGTATTTTAATTTTCAATTTCGACATCTCTAGCAATATTTTAACTGAACTAGCGACGAGTTATTTTTTTGGCTCATAGAACAAATGTATTCATTTGAGTTAATTGTGATAATCCTAGAATATACTGAATTCAAAAGTAGTAATCTCTTAATTCCTTTTACTAATAATGTAAAGTTTCTCTGCAAGTTAATAATGAAAAGTAACTTCAACGTGGATTGCCTGATGTTTTTACACAATTATAATTGTTGGTGTTTCATTTTTTAGTTCAAACGCAATAAAAGTTTTTAAAGTAATAAGTTAATAAAGTTATAATAATTACATATTAAAGTAGTAATTTATTATTGAACTGGAATGAACTCTGACCAATAAAGTACATCGTAACGTTTTTAACATGTTTGAAAATAAAATTAAATAACTAGTTTGGAATACAAATTTTAGCCACTTATTTTCCAACGCACTTTTTGATTGTACTACAATTGACATACACGATGCAATATTAAAATATTATAACGTTTTCTCTCAAACTCGGTCAAGCTTTGCTCCTACAAACTCTGATGTATTGATCGAGAGCACGTTCTTGTAAGTTCTTTATGGTGGATATACGACTGTGTCGTTGCCGGGGGCAAAAATACACATTGGGCCACCAGTTTGATACTCTTGCTTTAAACGATCAATAGAATATTCACTTCCTTTGGTACACTAAAATACACAAAAGCGGTCATTACGAAACTAAAAGGGAACAATTAAAGTATAAACTAATAAAACAAACGTAAATACAAAATTTACAAAACCTAAAACTTTTTTCGTAATATTACATTTGGTATTTGAAAAACACCGTTCTGGATAACATTTATAAATAAAATCTACAAAGCTAGGTTGATGAATTTTGTGATAATTGGGTATAGTCTCAAGTATAAGAGCCGTTGATAGTTGTCAATTGGATCCTTGCTCACTAATAACAAATTTGTTTTTTCATGAGATGATCTGACGCCAGGACACGAATATGCACAAAATTTTTAACTCTCAAAAGGTGTTAAAAAGGTCCAGCTTTTACGTTTTATCTCTAACATTAACATATGTTTTTGATATCTAAAAGTGGTTCTGTGAAACAGCGATGGTATGAAATTTATACACAATAATTTATTTAAAATATGCGAAACATCTTCAATAAGATATTTTCGTAGTAATCTCTAGTCTCTGGTCTCTCACTGATCTCAGTCAACATCAAACTTTTATTCCCTTAAACTAAAAAAGCTAAACACGCCCGTTCGGAATATGGTTTGATGTGTCGTGACCAAAGTAATTTCTCGCGCAAGCATAAACTCGTACGTAAATATTCGCGAGTTTTTGTCCAGCATGAAGACATTCATCGTACACTAATCATCAACTTCGAAACCTGTGCATATGCGCTAACTTTAATGAAAGGTTGGAGAAACATTGGAATTCAATGTTACTCTTGATTTATTGCATCCCGAAGTATCTACTTTAAGTTAATCAAAGTGGTTCAAACAGCTGTGTATGTAGGTGTTGGGGATCGGGGATCACAATTCGTCGCAAATGTCAACAAATACGAAACGATAGAAAAAGTAGAAACGAATAGAATGTTCGATATTGGAAATTTAGGGATAGCAATACACACTGTCGTTAGTATTCGGACCAAAGCTCATTAACGAAACGACTTAGAACAGAAAATACACACCAATGTTTTTAGAACATGAAACGTAAATGGTCAGGTGGTTGTCTACTAGCTGTTTATTTGTAATTTGACGCTGGGAAAATCTTTCTAAAACAAAACTAACGATCATCCGGACCCGTTAGTTTGCTCAATGTTTATGAAACTTAATTCATCCGTAATTAGTTTTTCAGCTTTGGAGCGGAACAACCACCGTTTTGTTCACACCAATCTCCCATCACAGGCAGAGAACTGACTGAATCACCTACCCACGGGTTTAGAAAAATCCGAACAGTTACAAGACGCCCAGACTAGGAGCAGAACTCATACCAGAATGTTATTTCGTTGGCACACGAAATATCTCCGACTGCTGCTGACCCATACACGATGAATGAATTACCTATAAGCACCATGAATTGTCAGAACATGACGAATTGCCAGAGGTCGAGCTTATCAAACAGGCAAATGTCACATTTGTATCATAGTCGTACGAGAATTCCTATCTCAGGTTCATTGGTATGTGTAATCATTTTCTACCTCTTATACGTCTTAGAAGTTTGAAAAAAGAGAGGCCCACGCACGGACCGAGTCGGGGAGCGCTCGGACTTCGTGGGGGCGGGGGAGTCACCCTGCCACACCAGAGACACGCTACCTCGCCTCTAACAATTTGAAGAACAATTATTTTGGACAAAGTGGATTTTAATAAAGAAATGTTAGTGCGATCTTCAACTTTCATTTACTTAACTTAGAATTTACCAAGACTTCTTTGTACTGTGGGACATTCAACAGTTGAACGGCGTTTCAATGTTTCCTGAGTGACGGTGAACTATTTGTGTGTGAGTTATTACAGTCCGTCGACCTGCATTGTCATGGAATATAAACATCTCCACGTGCGCGATTTTTGGCACGATTGGGTTACGGACGAGGGCATACTAGTGGCCCGCCTCATTGTGCCACAAACACGTTTGAAACATAACATGACAGTCCGTAAAACACGATTAAAGTTTCGGATGAAGGTATTTTATTGGATATTCCAGCTGTGAGAACTTGTGCGTTTGGTGACATTGCACAACGTTTTGGCTAGTTGTCAGTACAAAAAAATCTGAATAAATGTTTTAATGGGGGATATAGAGGCTTTGAAACTCATCAGGCATGTGGCATTTGCCCCTGATTGCAACTCCGTAATCACAGGTGTTTTGCACGTGAGTCTGACGCACTCATGATTTCATGTACTTGCCGGAACAATGCACACGGGGTGCATTCTTGTATTCTCATACTTTGTAAGACTAAAAAACCATAACTGTAATGAAGAAAATGTCACTAGATGGAAGGCGTGACAATTCCTGTTAATATTGCATCAGTAAGTACAAGAAGTCTTTTCCCAAAACTGCCTTATTTTACATTAAGACAGGTTTTTGAGGACTTACGAGTATGTCCAGTGGCAAAACGAAATCATTTTTCAATTCCTGTTCATGCACAATAACAGAGATTCACAATTCTTGCTGGACCTCTGATCTCTTTAGAAGGAAAAAATACAGCCACGTAATCCGTATCAGTTAATTTTATATGAATTATCAGAATTATGAATTATCGGTAATACCACGAGTGCTTTGGAAATTGTCGATAAATTCCCGACGAGGGGATTTATTTGAGAATTTCTCAAGTACGAGTGGTATTTAATAAGACTATTGCACGAGTAAAATTATGTCCAACAGTGTTCCAAAATGCGACAAATATTGAAATTGACTGAAAGCATATGTTCGCTCTCGCTATTGGTTTTAATTTCACGAGTGGACAGGCAAAATAATGTTGCGTATTACATGTTCCTAATTTATCTGTTTATTTTAAAAATCTATGAATATCTATATTATAATATAATCTATTACGGTCTCTTTTCCGAGGCTTTGATGCGATGGAGAGACCATTTGGGGTGAATACCAGAATTCGAAAGATTAGAACGCGAAAGGATGTAGGTATTGTAATGGCTTATAGGCCTTCGGCCTAGCCACATAGGACCAAGTAAGCTAATTTTTTTGTAATAATTACCTATTAAATTAAATCAAATAATAAATACAACCTATTATATTGTAATAATATCTCTAATATTATTATTATTGAAAAATCACAAGAGAGAAATTAAAAAAGGAGGTGGGCGTGGCTCACCGGTCGTAGGGCGGTGGTGGTCTCGCGCGCGTAGATGGGCACGTCCATGTCGGTGACGCTGCTGGAGATGGAGGGCGCGCGCGGCGGCCCGTCCGGCCTTGTCAGGCAGCATGGGAAGAAGCGGCCATTCGCCTGCGCCGCCGGCCTGCGGCCGCAGCGGTTGGGTCGTCTCGATGTAGCCCGGCGAGCGCCTCGCGCGAAGTGGCTTTGCCTCTTGCGCACATCAACAGCAAATACTCGGACGCTCGCGGCCGCTTCGAAGCAGTGTCGTGTCAGTGCTGCTCTTTATCTTTAGTCCGCGCGCGACTTAGTTAATTACTGAGGGCGTTGCAATATTAGAGTATATTTTCCAGTATTCCAGCCCCCCTATTCCTTGGTTTTACATTGCAAGAAATCGTTCATAAAATGGCATCTTACGGCACAGAGTATAACGTATTTTCCGTTTATGGCACGAATAATTGCGTCATCACTTGTGAGGAGAGAGCAGTATATCAAATAGCCGACTATCGTTTTCCCCCGAAATGTTAAGTACCCATGACATCACCATTGGTTTCCTTTTTAAAAATTAACTTTGAATCTCTTATAAATTTATAATGCTACTAAACAAAAATATTGTGCATGCAACGCGTTTGAAATGTTGTGTTCATACAAATGTGAAAAATCGATTTTAACGTCGTTCGTTTATTAAACGTGTTCTCATGCACTAAGGTTTAGCATTTTAAAGTAGTTGCATAATACATATTTCTTTGACATAACGGATTATAATGTATCTTGGGAAGCACCACACAAATGTAAAAGTTTCAAGTGCAATGTCTCTTATTGATACTGAAAATGTACACATAATTATGATATAACTACACTTAGTAATAAATGTACACTTAGTAAAAAATGTACACATAATTATGATATAACACTAGTATAACGGTATACAAATAGACATGACCAATGCACTGAAGTCCTAAAGACTCAATTGTTCTCTAAAATAAATGAGTGGTATAGAAAATATCCATTCATATTCATGCATGACTTCTCTGCACGTCACAATAGGAAAGGAAGTTGGAAAATAGAAGCAATATGCGTGTTAGAATTTTGTAACCATGTTCTAATCACGAAGGGAATACACACACATACCTTTTACTTGAGACACGAATCAACAACAAAAGAGCAAAGCCATTGGTGCATTGTATGTCTTTGTTATTTAGGTCAACTTTCTTTCCTTATGACACGTAATTCTTTTTAAAGTAAATGATGACCTTCATCTCTCAACGATTAGATACTCCTAAGTGAATGTGAAGGACGAGGTGATTACTTCCTATCTTCAATTTTTACTGCAATGTCTATCGGCGCTTCTCTGTAAAGCTAACTAGCAGTTCCAAATTTCCCTTCTACTAGAGTCTAGGGCAGCTAATCTTTATCTTCTTGCGGACTCTTTATAAAATCTTCAATAGTTTGCGGCGCTTTCATTAGTGATAATAAAAACAATAAAGTTTGTTTATGTTTTTAAATTAATTTGCAAGATCAGATCAAGGGGACTTGGCGATTGTGATCGTTACCGTTTCGCTGACCACGTGCTCCGTGTATTCTATTGGATGATTGTGAATTAGGCTACTAACTGGTACATCGTCTGCTAATACGGCGAACAGTTGAGGACATAGTTCTCTTTCTGGCAAATAGTATATCTAGCATTGTTTATTGTGTGATTTGAACTCTCTTGTTTTTTTATTTATTTAAGGTCGCATCAACTACCAAGTCATTAGCGACCACTAGTGCTGGTAACAGTATGGTAACTATGAGGATGATACGATATAATGATGATAGGGGTTTGAGGGACGAACACAATACAACCATGCCCGAGGCGGGACTCGAACCCGCGATCCTTCGGTCGGAGAAAGCTACGGCACTACTGCCTTAGCGACCGGCTGTCTCTTGTTTGTAAAGCTCAAAACCACAATAAACTGTAATTGTTGAAACACCCATCTTTCAACTTTTTCACACATTTCACAAAATTAACTTTAACGTTTTTAAATAAAAAATTAATTGTTTCCTGTTCAATTCTTTCAAGACTTATTCAGGGTGCTTAACATAAATTTGATATTACAATAATATAGAGGCAAGATGCCAGATACACATGGTGATTTTTAACCTTGATTTAAATTTGATAGATATAATTAAGGTATATAATTATTTAATAAATTTAATAATAATGGAAATTTTGAAGATAAAATAATCATTAATGTGAAATAATTCCAACTGGTTCCTAGATGACCTTTGCTTTTTTTCATTTAAAAATAAATTTTGCGACATTGTTACATTTGACATTCCGCTTTTACACCATTTTTCAAGCCCCAAGTTCAGGGACCCGTGGAATACCAGAGTTTTCATGTGAGTATCTTAAGTATATTTAAGATTTGTAGGGATTGCTTCTCAACAATACATCTTTTTCAATATTCCATTTTCCTTGTGGTGTGTTTCCTTGACCTCGGACTGCTCAGAACTTGAGGAATTGCGTGTTGTGATGAAATAATGATATGTACATTTTGTTGTGGCGTATCGCTATTGCATCAGAAGCTTACCCTCACACAATGGCTTACACAACGCTTTGATCCAAACAATGCAATGCTTCTTGTCGGAATGGGGCGTTGCAAACGGGTACAGGTTCGTTTTAAAAATTGGATAAAATATATTCGAATTCATCAATGAAAAATACTGAAGTTGATATCAAAAGGGGAATCAAATAAAGAAAGTAAATCAAAGAAAGTAAAATTCTGTAGTTACATAGAGCATTTTAAATCAGAAAATTATAAATTTTCTAAAATAATATTCAAGTAAATAACATCGAGGCAAGGACCCTACTTCGCAATTATTCTTCATCCCCTGTTGAATAAATTCCAAATTTCTCAACTGGTACTACAATTACCACCAAGTAAGGAATAGATAATATAGTGGAAATCAATTATAGATCTCCGAGGCAAGTCCTTTCATTTATGTAAAATGGCACATTTTGCCTCAGCGCCCATTGATTGCGACAATTATCAATTTTTCTAAAATTAAAAAATAGTTCGGACATTGTTTACTTTATTAAAATAAATACCTAAAATATTTTTTCTACCAAAAATAATATTTTAAGAATGATAGAACAGGTTTTGTTGGAAAAAGAAGGCAGAAGTAGACAATAATTTCCAACATCCGCGAGGAAATTTATGTCAAAACGTGCGGTCAGAGCACAAGCAGTCGTGTCGAAGCTCCGCAACGTGATTGTTTATTAATCCCCTCTACATAAACACCAACGAAACATATTTTTCGAGATATGTTTCTTTGAAAGAAATATTGTGCAAATGTCATGTAAATGAAAAATATACATTTTTGGAGAATAAATAACTCAAAAAGACATCCAAGACCGGGGTTTTCCTCATCCAGATATCCCCCATCAGTTGAGCACAGCTCCAGCTGGGACACACTCTAAGCTCCCGACTTACCCCTTGTATGTGAAGTAGTATAGTGCGTGTAAGTGAATGTAAGGAAGAGAAAGGAAAGATCGTGCGCGGTCCCTGACCCGTTTGTTTAGGTACTGCACTGGCGTTTTCCTGGTGTTGATCGGTGAAACCGCGGAAAACTACCGATCACAGCGAAATAGCCGGCCGCTAGAATTTCCTTCAGACAGCGGCTGAACTCGACCTAGCTATCCAGCTAATGTCGAAAATCCTGCCCCTGTCGGAACTCGAACCTAGGACCTTCCGTTCGACTCAGCAGTGACATCAGGTGCCACTTAGCCCCCATCTCATCCGGCGAATGAAATCGAGCAAACTATTTTTTTTTTCGATCGGAGCATCTGGATCTCCAGAAGAAGGCAGGTGGAAGCGAACAAAGCGGCGGTGTGTCGCTTTTGGCACCGGCGCCAGAGGCAGCGCTGGGCGGCGGGCGGCGGGCGCCGCTGCGAAAAGACCGCTGGTTGCGCAACTCTTCGGCGCCGTGCGGACCGCCCGTCCATCCGTCCGTCCGTTCGTCCGTCTGTCTGTTGGCGTTCGGCGGTGCCTCCGGCGCTGCGGCCTTCGACTTGGCCCCTCCGCTTGCGCGCCGCTCGTTGTGCTCGCTCCGCGCGCGCAGCCACATGGAGGCGTTACGAGCTAAGCGACGAGTCTGTTACGCACATTTTCATTTGGTGCCGATTTTTTTACATCGTCGGGGTAAGGCACATTTACACATCCTACAAGAATTATGTCGAATGGAGTCGTAGGCTTCCGTGGCCAGAGTCATGTGCGTGATCTTGGCTGTCCGGGTGACGAATACCAGCCCTGAGGAAGACCACGACAAGATGGTCGAAACGTCGGCAGCACAGCCTTCAACGCGGCGTCACCCGGACACCCAAGATCACGCACAAGAATTATGTCCCATCTCCATAAAGATCTGTTCCGTCCCCCATAAGTTAGAAAAATATTTGAGCTACTTATCTATTTGTATCTTGTTTACTTCTTGTTAGATTTAATTTCACAAAATTGTCAAAAAACATCATAGAAGTATCCACTGGGGATGCCCTTGTTCAGAAATACGGGTATTATAGTGCGTTAATTTACAATTACTTGTAACTTTGAGCCATTATTGATTTAATTAAAGGTAATAATCACCTGTAAAGTGGTAATTCCACTGATATGAAAAAAATTAAATTATCGTAATAGTTGACATACGTAATTTTTTATGGTCGCATCAATATATCGGTCATTAGCGACCACTATTGAATTTAATGGTATAGCAACTGTGGGGGAAAGGACGAACACAATACAACCATGCCCGAGGCGGGACTCGAAACGGTGATCCTTCGGTCCTAGATCGCTACGGCACTTCTGCCTTACGATCTCGGCCATCCGGACCGGGTTGATGTATGTGAGGAATATATTCAGAAAATATTATATTTTTCTATGAAACGCTCATAAAGATAGATCAGATACTGCCCATGTAATCTACATCTCTGCGCGCAGCGCATTTCCCTCCCCCCCCCAGTACCGAGGCCTATAAACTGCGCCCTTGGTATCTTTCGTACGGGTATCGTCCGTACGGAAGTGTTCTAATAAGTGTTTTCAATTTCACTGTCCTTGCTTCTTTGAAAAATAAATATTTTGTAAACTCTGATGTTATGTTTTACTTGAGAGTATCGTTAGACCTGCAGAAATATTTCATAATTTTAACTGAATGCGGAAATTATGAATAAGAATTTAA